GTATGCGTTTTTGCATTTTTGCACAGCTGCAAAAAACGCAATATTGTGACGACTCCGATGTGTTTATGCGTGTGTGTGTGTGTGTGTGTGTGTGTATGTGTGTGTATGCATGTGTGTGTATGTGTGTGTGTGTGCGTGTGTGTGTGCGTGTGTGTGCGTTTGTCCGGATGGAAGCACTCGGAAGTTCTTCGCGCTTCGCTGTGTTTTGGTCTTATGTATGAGCACACGCTGATGTTTAGTTTCAGAGCCTTGCAAGCTAATTTGATAATGTTTGTGCATCAGCTGCGTCAAAACAGAGTGACGATGTGCGACAAACGTCTGGTTCTCTTGACTCATTCCTCCTGAGTGCGCTGAGGACAGGTTGTCGTGAAAAGATGATTAGCAAGGCGCACATTGCTATTTACTAATTTTCCAGCTTCTAAATGTGCTTCCGGATAATATAAGTTGGAGCCGTTTCATATGGGCTTGGCACGTAGTCAATACCAGATGTATTTATCGGGAAAATAAATTTCACCCATTGGTTGATAACAGTCAAGGAGACGCACTCGCAATTGTACCTCTGATTGACATGCTTAATCACAGCAATGAAAATCAGGTTTGTGCTGTCCTCTGGATGTACCAGCCTGTGATTATATAAGAGGGTTTTGGCGCTAAATCCTTATTGTCTTTAATTGTTATTTCTCTGCTGTTGGCTTAAAAAGTCCATAAACTTGGCAAAGCAGGGGTGAAAGAGCTCGCTACATGTTTCTCCAAAAATTCATTGTAGATCTATTTCGCAAGCTTTTATGTATCGACGAGAATCTTATTGCACATATTCTCCGGAGATCCATAGTGAAACCGCGATTTTCATGCGTTTTTTGCAACTATGCAATGCGGAAAACGCATATTGACGAGAGGTAGTCTGTGTATGTGTGTGTGTCTGTGTATGCGCAGGACCTCTGTACCGATTTTTCATCTCGAGACCTACAAAAGCTACAGGGCTGAAACTTTGAGGCCTTAATCTACATGCACGTACGGGCCTCCATCCCCGAAATGGGCGGTCTTCCCCGCGTGGTGCCCACGTAAGAGCCCGCCAAAATTTTTTTCGGGCAAGTTGATAACTCGAGAACCAGAAAAGCTAGGAAGTTGAAACCTTAAGGGAATGTTCCCCGTCCAAGTAGGTATTAATGACCTCAAACTCAGCTCCCGGGTAAGCGTGGTACCTGCGTACGGGCCTGCCAAGATTTTTCCCGGGTAAGTTCATAATTCGGGG